TCACTATGAAAAAAAAAACCCAAAAAAAAATAATTTAAGCTAGATGTGTAGTTACCTTCTCACAGCTGTTCAGGGTTGTTAGCTCCGAATCAGCAGGTCACGTAGAAGATGCCCACAAACTCCAACCAAGGACTACAACGACATCCGGATCTAGACTCGGAGTGGAGGTTGAATAGTAGAGGATAAGTGGGAACCCCGTGCCATCTCCTGAACTACCCCATCCAGGTACTGTGGAACCTCATCAGAAGGTCAGACTGTCGTATATCCGAAGTTCCCCTATCCGGAGCACCCCACCGGATACTACCCAGTCCTAGCAGCGGCTATTCCACATAGACGTCATATAGGTAAACACGACAATGAGAAGACCCTCCCACTACACACTAGAGCACATTCATCATCACTCTTTCTCTGGAAACAGATCCGGGACTTTCTTTCACCAACGTACAGATCCGGCCCTGCAGCACTCACTGAACCGGCAAGACCCTGGGCCTAACGTTACATGCAAAAAACGCAAGAGCTTCTTAAACAGAACCAAGTCGCATAAAGAAGCAAAAGAAGAGTCTCATACAAAATCCTCAAAAGTGTTTAAATACTAAAAACTCTAAACCCAACTGCGATGGCTATGACTGTCTTCGAAACCCTAGCCGCCACCAAAAATCCCGAGATATCACTTGCCAAGAATTTCGTAGGTGACGATCACGTGCTCACCGCTTTCTGCCAGCAGCAGCCTGTAGTAACCCCACCTAGCCTTACAAAACCCTATCCAAGCCCTCTAGGATACCTAGATATAAACTTAGAAGGTTCGGAACTAATATATCTAACAGATTCTTCTGGTTTGGACTTCATTCAGAAAAAACCAGATACCATGTTTGTGTCCAGCTAACTTTCCAATTAGTGTTATTACGATTTTAACACACCTACTCCGACATAGTTTTCTAGTTTACTTACACTCTCCTTTTTCCATCAACTTCCTAGCAAACAGGTAGTGTAAACAAGTAATTAGATTGGCAAAATCTAGTTAATTTTGCGTGGGGAGCAATCTTAGCTTCCCACATGGCCTGATGAAAAAATTTGAGTAAATTTTAGCACGAACAGAGTAATTATGTGTCATGTCACACCATCATGTATCTCACTTAATCTTTAAGCTCGGAATAGAACAAAGGCATGAAACAATAGAATATTGAAAACAAAAGACTTGAACCATAAATCTGGTTTTAAAAGGTTTAGTCAAAACTTAAAGCAAGAACTTGCAAAATGTATGTATATACAGCTACTCATGATTTTCAGATTAGTTCTCATATCTTAACAAGGAGATCACATAAAAAAAATTTAAAAAAATGTGAAGAAACAGTCCCTCTTCTTAATTACTCTCCTTCCTCCCGTCATCGCCCTCAAGTTTACAGAAATCAGGAAGGTATCCTGGTAAGGCTTACCACGATACACCGGAAATCTGTTGAACATAATTGATGTTTGATACCTTACAAGGTAAAGTAAATAGGAACAAGTCATTTCATTGCATATGATAAACTGAGCAGTCCTCACGTCACAATTCTCACAAGACCAAAGTGGGCCAAATGTGATATCACCAATCTTTCTTTAGTAAAAACCTAAGTTCCATGCAAAAGTGCTGGCCGCCGTTCTAAGTATGTCGAGCTGAGGTGGATCTCGAGAGACGAAACGAATAGAGTAGACATGATTGAAAGTACGACGAAGATTTGTGAAGGGAATCAAACTATTGTACTGGACCTTGGAACTGTGGCTGCTTGAGTAAGAACCTTGTAATGTCACTCAGACCTGTTAAAGGTCTGCCCGATGGCCCAACCCAATCAGCCCAATCAGCCAGTTTTCATCACTTACCACTTGTTCCGCATTAAGACCCTCAAGTCAAGCCTTGTCAAACCTGCACATACAAAGATAACACCAGATCGCCGTTTGGGAGATAATTCCCCACCCCCCTTCCCTCGTATCAGATGTTCGAATCTGCAGGTTTTACCTGGAAGGGCAGGCAGATCGACTCAGTAGTTGTTCTCTGGTACACAAGTCAGGAGCATTTCTACGATTTTATGTATGAAAGTAGAAAGTACGGCAAAGGTCCTATCGTTGGCTAATTCGATTGTACCGAATTACTTTACTGCAGTTCCACTCCACAAGACCAGTCAAGTTCACTTGAAGCGTAGGTCCAGAAACCAAAAGAAAGACAGAGAGGAAGGGAGAGAGAGAGACAGAGAGCTCTGATGTAATTACAGCTCCTACTTTACCACCTTCATCGCATGTGATCAGACCTGAACAATTCGAACTGATCATCATTCGGATCCATCATACCTTGAGTCTAGGGAGTATGAGGAAAACTGAAAGTAGGATGAAACTGAATGCTTTACAAAGTTAGGAATGAACTTCATTAATTCCGTTAACTGATATTACCTATCTGATATTTCTACAGGGATTGATTCAATGTGCACAGTTAGTTTAAAACTGTGCTCTTTTACCTGCTTGTTGATCGAAGAGGCAACGTCTTCCATCTAATGATAAAGAATTAATGGAAGATGTGAAATTAGACACGTATGCAATTCGTTCTGTTCAGATATTATTCGTTTAGAGTTCAGATTTAGTTACAGATTGTGAACCAAGAAGGTAGGCGCTGGTCTAGGAACGTGACTGATCCTTGAGATTTGGGCTGGCTCAAAGCTGTTAGAGGTTGAGTCTGGAGGCGACGGAATATTTAGAGCAGTCAGTGTCGAGAGAGACGATTATGGGCAAGACTTTTGTTTCATCTGTCCGGGATCTCGTGAAGTCCACATCGAGTGCACAGTGCCACATTTAGGAAGTGTAAATTGGGTTTCCTCTTCTCTTGATGACAATATTCTTGTGTCCTGCTCCTTGCTTCATCAAGTTAAGAGATGCGCGAATCAGGGTCCGTTACACGCCAACACAGTGGATTTCTGGCTCCTGGATGCATGGATGGACTGTAATGTGATCTGTACATCTTAGATGCATGTCAGCAAGCAATTTCAGATTTCTCTGCATCAAGAATATTCTTTACTTATATTGTAATGACGGTACAATTTCTCCGCAAGTTTACAATTCCATCATAGTTTCTGGCTCCGAAAAATTAACCAAGAGACGCAACATTAACTTCGTCGTTGCGTTCAAATGTACCATGCAGTGGGAAATCTCAGTAATCTGAATGTGGAAGCTACGTCAACGCTCATTCGAACTAACATTACGAGATCAATTCAGAATATCAAGTCGTTCGTGACCTATTGTCTGTTCATGCGTGACACCTGGTCTAAAGAGAGCTTCCGTCCCATAGCCAACCTAGGTAGAACATCAACCGGCCGAGTGTGAGAAGTTTCCTAGATCCAGGTTCAAGTCTAGGATCTTGAAAGACAGTTGCCTGACACTGAGAAGTGCAGAAAACTCTTCTGCAAGACTGAAATAGACGCCAGAAAACACGAGAACAAGTTCGACTTATTTCGCGGTTTGCATCCACAAACCAAATCGATCGACATTCAGAGATCACCTCAGGAACCTGTACGGACATCAAACCCATACATGAATGTCAGGACTATCCATGAATACCTTTCGGACATCGAATTGGACCTGATCATGACCAATTTGAAGCACAATCCACATTTGGAATGTTGGTATTCTGGATCCTTGTCCTGCATGCAAGCAGTAGATTTCGCGATAAACTGTGGGTTTTTCGATTTTTTCGATGCACGATCCACGAGAAATAACCAGAAATCTAACCGATAACAACCAGAAAGTGAAGAATCAGGTTCTCCTGAAACTTGGCAGTATCTCAAACTCAGCTCACAGACAGTGAACATAGTCACTGAGGCACGATTATTACATACTAAATTAGAAGTTACTACAAATGAGCAGAGCATTATGACAATTTTCTCCTCCTCGAGAACCACAGCAGTCTCAGTTCTAGACCAGCATGTCGCCATGTTACGGATAAATTTCCATAACGGGCCGAATACTAATCCAGATACTCCCTCGTCAGGTATCAGAGTAGCCGGGTGATACGCGTCAATAAGTTCTCTTCTGAACAAATGACGTCGACGAAGGTTGTGTGATAACCTGACAGCATATGAACTCACAAATCACTTTCCGCTTGTACATGGAATCAAAATTGACAACTGCAATAGAAGAAACGAGCAGAATTATGCATTTCGATCTTTAACAGCATAATACTTTCATGGAGCAGCTGTTAAGGACACATGCAATTTTTCAAAGGATGTTTTCATTCATGCACAAATTCCTTACGTATTATGTACGTTTTTCCCAAGTGATAGCTGTAAAAGCTAATTTTGATCCTTTCACCTTCTAACATACCGTTGTGAAGTTTCGGGATCTAACCACTGAGAAGCACTAAGCACTATTTCTCCTTTTTGAGACTTGATGGGGTAGTTGAATTAATTATATTTTTTCTCATGTCGTGTTTTGAGTTGCATCCCTCTGCACAACTAATCTAATGATATAATATAAAAACAGTAAGATTTTAGTGTATTCATTTGTTGTTTCTCGGAGGCAAAGCTTGGATGGAAGCATTTGCTATTAAAGACATGAATTGCCAAGGCACAAGGTGTCTGTTGTATCAATAGTTCGTGTATGAAAAGCTGGGTATCGCTGTCGTCTTCCCACAGACTGTGGAAAGTCAGTTGTCAGCTGAAACTGTCAAGTTATGTTCACCAGAATGTTCCGAACAGAGGAAGATCATGAATCCTATACGCGGAGAACAGACACCAACTACAATGTGACCAACATGGGTCTACGAGGAAAACAATTCTATTTGTCTGGACGGAATAGCATTCAACCGAACACCAACTTGCAGCTGGAGTAGTGTATTTTCGTGCGTGACGTTGCCAGGAGGGGAAATTTCTTCGACGAAGTAGTTCCCCTCCCACAGAGAGTAAACACGAAGACATCGTCTTCGGTTATGTGAAGAAAACTTTGAGCGGAGTCCTAAGCGATTCCCGGTACCATCCAGCACGTAAGGACTGGGCATAGACGATAATGAATCACGATCGGTTCACTGCGCTTCGGAAATGTGTATATATGCATTGACTGTCTAGGTTGTAGTCAGAAGAAAAAGGGGGAAGTGTGCCCCAGGGCTCGAGTAAACGGAGAGAGCTAGTAGTAGTCCGGATGCTTGCTCTCCGAGACATCTCTGCCCAAATCCAACAAAAAAATACGCGTCGATAACGTCGCTGATTCGACCCAGTTCTCGGAGTATAATCTCGAATAATCTCGGCAGTAGTCAGAAGAAGAGCGGGGACGTGTGCCACAAGACCGAAGGAGACGGATAGAGCTAGTGGTCTGGTTGCTTGTTCTCCGAGACATCTCTGTTTACAAACACGAGCAGAAAACGTGGCTGATTCGACCCAGTCCTCGGAGTTGGATCAATCTGTGTTCGGAATATCAAGACTTCGACCTTCCTGAAGACGGAGAGTACATCCACCGGCCACCGTCATCATACAAGTCGAGTTAGAGGGCATCCGCGGTCCATGCCGTCTGAAGATGAGTGGGATCAGAATTCAGGCAGGTGGAAACTGCGAATGTGGTGGGCGAACATGACGACGAATCGTCGAAGACGCCTAGTGGCTCTGCTTGCGCTCTCGGTGCTCGCCTTCCTGGCATTGCAGAAATTCGACAAAAATGCGGAGAAGAGACCTGCGACAGGCTCGAGTGCCCGGCTGCAATTGCAATCCAATGGGTCGGACTGTCTGAGAGTTTGTGGCGACGTCTCGATCCCCTATCCCTTCGGACTTTCACCACAATGCGCCTTCAGCTCCTACTTTGTGCTGGACTGCAGGACCGACCTGGGACCAAATCTCACTTCGCATTTACCAAGTCCGTGGCCGGTTCTGACTCACATAGCGGCCACATCCACTCTCGGACAACGTTTCAGCGATGGCACCATAACTCATCGATTTTTCGAGGTGAATTTTCTGCCAGTAACGCAAATTCAATCTAACTTCATCCTCATAGATACGACGAATATCAAAGCGATGGGCTGCTTGGAGCAGGTCAATGCCAGCCTTTCTCTGGACGCGCAAAGCCCCTACTGGATTTCTGAGCAGAACGTGTTCATCGTCGTATCTTGCCGTGCTCAAGGATCGGCTGTGGGTTCTGATGCTTCTCTGAGTCCGGTTTTCAGCACGACGTGCGGTCCAGTTTCGTGTATCAACCAGAAAGTGATGCGGTACTGTAACGCGTATGACTGCTGCATTCAGACCATTGGAATAGCCAAGGCAATGGTGATGACAGGGGAAGGAATAGACTTCGCACTCTTCACAAATTGTGGCTACTCCACCGTTTTGTATCCAGATTCGTTTGTTGCAAGAGGGGAAGGAGTTGGTGGCGGATACTACGGAGTCGCTCTGTGGTATAACATCCAGAGGGGGGTGGATATTCACAACTGCTCTGAAGCTGCAAAGGATCCAGAGAAATTTGAATGCTCCACGTCTGAACAATGCACTGACTTGATGGACGGCTACTATTGTCATTGCGATAAGGAGGGCTACGAGGGAGATGGTTATAAATTGGGCACCGGCTGTAAAGGCAAGTTGAGGCTGATAATTTTATCGTGCATTTAGGATTGCGATTTGTGCCCGTCTTATTCCAGATCCTTCGCTACCTTGAAAATCTAAACCTTGAAAATCTAAGTCTCAGATGAGAGCTATTAGTTCGATTCCCGAGACCGGATTTGCCGCTTTAATCGTTTCATTAAGTGCATGGCATGCCTCAGCCTGTTCCTCTGCACACTCAATTCTCGGTCGGTTGCGGAAATCTTGGTACTGCACAGCGAAGATGCCGCACTGTCTGCTTGAAACTTAAAGCTTTCAATGTGTCGGATCCTTTTCATTTGATTAGGTCGGAGACTCGACTGTAAGATTGGGAATCCCTTGGCTAACATGACTTGTGCTCATGCCAGATATCAACGAGTGTGAGAGGTCGAACAATTGCTCCAGTATTGCTACATGCGTAAACATCGAAGGGAGCTATCAGTGTAAATGCCCCGACTTAATGCAGGGCGATGGTCTAGATCCCCAGCTGTACTTTCTTGGCAACAATTGCACTTGTAAGTTTCCCTTGACCTGATATTCCATATTCCTTCCATATTCCTTAGTGTCGACATTGAAGCTGAGATTGAGTAGAGGATGTCACTTGAGGCCCGCCAGTCGACTGTCAGGGATTCATCCCTGATAATCGTCCATCTGAATTTACGGACCACAGTTTGATATAATAGAGGTTTGTGAATTGACACGAGCAGGGATCGATCAGTGTAAAAATAAGACCAAAGTCTGCTCCCCAGATGCTGAGTGTACTTTCGACAGCAGCTCTGGCGATTTAAATTGCACTTGCCAAGGTGGAACTTTCGGAGACGGGCGCGTAAACGGAACAGGTTGCACACTCAAAGAGACTTCCAATTTGCCCGTCATAATCGGTGCGTACTTTTCATGTATTTGTTCATTTTTCGTCCGCGAATCACTGCTTCCATCCAATTGCCGAAATTCCATTTTCGCCATGTCCAGTTTATAAATTGATGTGAAGCGCGGAAAGTATGAGTGAGGTTCAAGACAAGTGAGGTGCAAGATTTCTGACCTAGTATCATCATCAACTGTCAATGCGTTGTCACAATTCGCATAACAGGTGTGAGTGTCGGTAGTGTGGTAGCGTTCATCATCATCAACAGCATTCTATTGTGGTATTTCTTTCGGAGGAGGCGGCTTGCGTTCGATCCAGCAATTTTCTCACAGCAAGAGCTGCTGAATGAGATCGAGAACAAAGAGGGTGCCAAATACTGCAAACTTTTCACCTACAGCGAGCTTCGAGAGGCAACGAAAGACTTCTCGGTCGAGCTCGGATCTGGAGGATTCGGCACCGTATTTGAAGGAACCCTGCGGGACGGAACCAAGGTTGCCATCAAGAAGGCCAAACACGGAATGGGCGAGACACGAAACGAGGCGAAACAGTTCGTTAATGAAATTGTCATTCTGTCGCAATTGAATCATCGGAATCTCGTGAACTTGCTGGGATGCTGCTTGGAGACACGGGTACCCGTCCTGGTATACGAATTCGTCTCTAATGGCAATTTGCACGAACACATCCAAATGAGACGCCCAACGGAAGCTTTGAGGTCCGCTGAGGCAGTGGTTGACAACAACAACTACTTCTGTCATCCACCCCTAAATTGGACTTTACGTTTGAAGATAGCAATTGAGACAGCGGAGGGATTAGCATATCTCCACTGGGGAACGTCTCCCCCGGTTTACCATCGAGATGTCAAGTGCGCCAATATTCTTCTGGATGACACGTACAATGTAAAAGTGGCTGATTTTGGTTTGTCAAAACTCGTCCCCCTCGAGGACACAGATGGATATGCGGTCCCAACTGCAATACAAGGTACGAGCTACTGTGACCGCTGTTATGAGTCTCTCGATCTACATATTTTCTTACAAACGTACTCAGGTTTATAACGGATGAATGGATGTGTTTGGATTGGTTAGAATGCCAGTCCAACTAGATGTATGGCTCGCTTGGCTGAAAAGGCGTTGAGCACTTATTTCACCAACGATGTTCCAAGATGATGTTCGTTGATTACAGTTGTTTGGTTCGTTGCTTGTGCAGGTACTCCTGGCTATATGGTAAGTCAACTTCGTTGATATTCAGGTAGTATATGTATCTTTCAAGATGAATGTAATCATGCCCTGACGCTTAAAAACATAGGAATCACTTTGTTAAAGTCTGTGATTCCGCGGCTGATTATCTATCGAGACTATATTTCTGGCTAAGTTTCCCAGTGGAACTTACCAATCCCAGACCACATTCTACTTCCTACCAAGATTTCTTCTTCCTCATTTCTGAGTTTCCTGTTTTACGTGATCTCAAATCGTAAACATTCACTATATACTAAAGTTCATGCATTGATTCCTACAGGACCCAGCGCTTTTTGACCAGTACGAGGTGAGCTCCAACCCAAGTTGAAGATCTCGTTGTTGCCTCAGTTCGAAAAGTTGTTCCATACTGAACAGAAAAGCTCAGCAATTCTGTTCAGCTCGACTTGTTTATGAGTTTACAATTCTGGAAGTATGACTTCCCTTGAAGTATGTCACTGGAACTCATGTCTTGCATTGGCTTCTTTGTGCACTGCAGTTAACGGACAAATCAGATGTATACAGTTACGGTGTACTGCTACTCGTTATTCTCACTGGGCAGAGACCAGTGGATCTTAAGAGACAGCCTAGGGATCAAAATCTTGTCAACAGATGCAACCGTTTGATGACTCAGGTTTGTAGATTTCTTATACCTATTTTCCCTCGCCAAGGGCTTACTGCTGGGTCTTCAAAGTGCCCGATTGCATTTTTGGTTGGCAGCAGATTCAGACGTAAGGTGGGCCTAATGTGTTTGCACAAAGTAACTAGGCTGCATTGAAGTGTGGTATATCTAGGTACGTATGTTAATGCTAGCTCCTCTCGAACTGATTTGACTTAATACTGAAATCTTCAAGTGAATTTGGAAGTCACCTACGGAAGTTCTCACCTGCGTAAGACGAGATGTCTTCACTCAACTAAGTTTCTCAAGCATCTCACTCTCTGCCGGACTTAGATTATGTATTAACTAATATGATGAAACGTTACTTTTCCTGGTTGAGCACAGGGTCTTTTCGCAGATATCATTGATCCAGAGTTATCAGAGGCTGTTGAGAGTCCAGACACCCTTGAAGCCATCGATGCAGTTGCCAAGGTATCAATCTCTCTCCTGGATAACACTCCTGAACATACGTCCTTCTGTGATATCCCGTGGATTGTTGTTGTTGGTTTCCTATTATTTCCAATCAAAGCCTTCCCAGTGTTTCAGGTGTCACTAACATAGCTCGTATTGCAGCTTGCATTGAAGTGTGTAAGCAGAGATGGCCAGGATAGGCCAACCATGAAAGAAGTGGCTTCGGAGTTACACACTATTCGAGGAAAGACAAAGACGAGGACCTCAGTTTCAAAAATGGTTAAGAGCCTGACGAAGAAGGTTTACTTTTCAAGAGAGTACTCTTTGGTTCCACTTGCTGATGGACAATTGAACAATTCCTACTACACATCTACCTCAAGCTCCACCTTAGGCCTACCATGGTCGGAAACAGAAAGCCCCCAGCTGTCTTCTAGTGGACTCAGTGAGTTTGAACTTTCGAAGCAAGAAAGAAAACCGGTTCTTGGAAATCCTTGAGTATGGGATCATTTTGTTCTATCTTTAGCGCCTGGAAAAGGAAGAGAGTGTTTGATGATCCGAGGTATTAAGAATCATTCGAGCTGGGTGATTGTCTGTTGCTGGATCCTTTTTCGGGCCTGCAGCTCCAGTTTTTTCGGGTGTCTTGATTTAGAATTCATCCTTTCCTAGAGTAGAGAAAGAAGCATTCTCCAGTCTTCCAAAAGTTAGTCATGGCCCATGACTAACTTTTGGAAGACTGGAGAATGCTTCTTTGAACTATTCATCCCATGACTTATGGGATGAATAAGCACCTTTGGTTGCAGATTAGAGAGTCCGAACTGTAAATTCTGTTTTTTTCCTCATCTGAGTTTAGTGTAAATACTATTGATCATGTAAACTACACTTAGGCTCTCACGTAGATCCATGTACTACTAAAATGAGGACCAACTAACATCAGCGATCAGGAGAAGTAGATTAGGTTATTAGAAAAATGAGATGATAGATTAGATTAAAGAGTATGTACAAGAGCAAATTTTGTTGGAGTTTTGGTTTGATAGCTGATTAATCTTCACGCCATATGCTCTACAGATAGAAGCGGGGTGGTTTTACACATTCAATACATGTTTCAATGAAAGAGATCTGTTTATTTGGGTCTTACAATAAGATCTAAATATTTAGATCAATCAAAACAAAGAACCTAGTCTCAGTTACGTGACTCACTTTTTTCTGTATTGAATCTCGATTGCATGAGTTTCTCTGTGAAATCTTGTTTCGGGAAACAATAGGCATCAGAGAGATTGGAATCGACTCGACAGGATTTGTAGTGAGTGGCATTGACAGACTAACACTAGTAGGAGATGAGGAAAGATGATAAGCAGGCTTCTGTGCGAGAGAATGTACGCAGGAAAGGTGAATTATGAAATCTGTAGACTTTGCCTAAAATCTCCTCACCTTGCGCAAGAAGATGACGTGGACCAGAAAGATTGCGAGGGCCTTCTTTTCCATCTGATTCGTGCCCTTCAAAACTATTGTCCAGCGGATTTTATTGCGAGAGGGGTTTCGAGTTGTGCAAGAACGGGAAGATGCTTTCGCTACTTAGTGACGCTGTGTGTATTTTTTCTGCGAGGGCTTGATTGTTGACAGATTTTGGTGCGCACCGCACCACCTGCAATCTCGTCGTTTGACTCCTCCAACGTCTCGCCTCTCTTTACGGACTCAAGAGCCCGAGTGAGTATTCATTCTGCGAAGGCCCGTGTGTTCGGAAAATGAGTGTCAAATTTATGTGACGCCTCAAGGGTTGACTTACAAATTAGTTAAGATGCACACATGACAATTTATTAAAATGATTTTTGATCCATATTGTGATCGTATGAAATAATTTTGGAGCGAATTCTATGTTGATAAGATTGAAAAAGATCACAAAAGATTTCTTCATGCTTACAATTTCAAAGTAGGAGTGAAAATTCAAATTTGTAGGGATGATCATGCCACGAAGTTCAACGATGCGTGGGATGATTTGGATGGTTTGTTTGATTACTTACGTTGATCATGTGGAGTGTTGACTGTCTCATTTGCCAACTCAATCCATGTGCGTTTTTGAAATTTGTTTTATCACAAAGAAAATCTATTCATCCAATTTAGAACATTAGATTTCAAGCCAAATGTTTTTGAAGATTTTAATTGAATTAAATTCTTGTACGTCTGTAAAAAAAATTTCTATGTACAAAAATTATTAAGATTAAATTAGAGCATAAATCTTCAAGTCAAATGCTTATGAAAATTTCAATTAAGTTGAATTCTTCCACGTATTTAAGCTTTCAATAAACAAATTCTCAATATCAATTCAAGAGTATCATGCTTCAAGCCAAATGTTTATGGAGATATTAATTGAGTTGAATTCATGTGAGTATTTAATGTTTTAATTGTGTTCTATATGCATACGTAAGATTTTTAGTTTGGAGTTTAAGGTTTTACATGTATAGTTATTCTCATCGGCCAAATCAGGTTTTAGCACGTATTGTGGACAACTAACCCTAGAAAACTTGGTGCAATTTGGTGTCTTGATAGAAACTGATGCAATTTCGTGTCCGGAGTGCAAGACGAATATGGAGCTCTTGTTTTGATTGATAGATTATTTTTTAGTACCGTTGAATGGCTTCGTTTTCTAATTTCGATGGTGGATATTCCATGATATTTGATAGAATAGTTTAGACTATCAAGAGTGAGTGACGATGCAAATGCTTGCAAGTGGAGAGATAAATAGAAAGTATGTTGATTAGAAAAGAGTATTGGTGCAAATGTTTGAAGATTTGCGGTGTGAAAATTATTCTCGTCTCTTCAATCTTACTCTGCTTTATCATCTCATTGAAATCACTCTCTCATGTATCCAGGAGACAATTTATCGAAATCAGATCTAAATTAGAATTGAATATTAAAATGCGTTTGTATTATTTTTCTAACTAAATTTCAAAATTATTAAAATGAGGAAGAGTAGAATTTTAATCTAAATTAATTTTGGTAATTTTTATACTTTATTACCAATGTTGGAGTCACAATTTCAAATGCACCAGGAGGGGTTATGTATTTTTCAATTGACATTCATAATTTTTAATTAATATTTTCAATATTAAAATATACTCTTTTAATGAAAATATTAAAATAAGATTATTTTTTAAACATTTCAATTTAATGTAAAATAATATACATATTCATCAAATTATAAAATATTTATAATGTTGGTAAGATATATGAAAAAATTTAAATATTTATTATTTTAAAAATGAATATTTATTGCAAAATTATAATAAAGTTCATTAATTTTTACTATGATTATATAAACATAAAAAATATTTATTTCAAAATATATAATATAATATTAAAATAATCATATAAAAATTAATTAAAATATTATTTGATGCCCGTACATATAATTTAATTATAATATTAGACGACGATAACCGGGAGTTGTGGGACAATCTGGTAACTATGGGATTCGTGCGGCGCAATGCCGTGGGCACAGTATGTGGAGCTGTGACTGAGCTGTCTGATTACGCTGCAGATATCTGCCCAAGCTGGAGCAGTAATATTTGGCAACTAATGGCGGCAGTGTGTTGTGTCAATTTTCTCTGCAACTCACAAGCCAGGTTCCAATGAATTTGGTGAGCAAACGCAGAAGATTCTTGGCTGGAATTCTTTCTGGGGTCTTATTAAGTAACCTGATTCTTTCTCCGGTCCTCTCCCAGTCTACTGAGGGCTCTACACAAGGTGAGTCTGCAAATTGGCTTTCTACGGTGAATAATATCAAGAAAATTATTTCAATTTAAGCTTGCAGCTCCAACGATAGCAAATTATTGGCGATTTTCTGAAGCTATGAAACTATAAAATCAGGCAGTGCGATAGTG